TGGAAAGATTATTCGTAGCTAAGCTAGATAAAGGCAAGCGGCTACAAATGAGTGGCCTTTCAGCGCCAGTATTGGAGGTCAATTTGGCGCGATGGGTGCTCAATCACGACAAACTGACTGGTTGAACGGGCTTCCGGGCTTCAGTGCTACTCAAGTACTGGATAATATGTGTAAAACAAGAGTCAAGGTGTAATAAAACTAATATTCCTTCTAAGTTATAGAATATTAATTGTTATTTATTTTGAAGCATATTGTTTGCTATGTTATTCGTAGAGGGAATTAGGGGGGGGGGAGGGAGGGAAAGAGGTAAATACCTATTGTGAAAATGAGCGCAACTAGCTAGAATTCCCGTATGACTGCAGAAGCCATGAAGCCAGCAACCTTCAGCAAGCTCCGTATCGTATCCGATAGGATTCTAAGGCTATTGAGGCCTCACGGAATAATCCTTCCAATTGTTCCTGCTTTCACGTCTAAAAGAGAGTGCATGGCGCATCCAATGAAGGTTTAGCGAGGAGTCGCAGCAAGTTTGAATAGTTCGCAATCGTCCAGGGCGGCGTAATTGCAAAAGCACGACGCGATGTTGCCTAATTCCATAAATTTTGCCCTTAACAATTGCGTGCGAGAAAACTTGCCTGAATTTGACAGGCAAATGGGGCATAATTACGGTAAGGTTTATGGTTATGACAGGGCGACGAAAAACTCGATGCGGTCAGGTTTCGTGGAGGACGCAAAAGTTTCTGAATGGTCGCGAACGGTTTAGGGCGAACAGGAAGGCTGGTAAGGGAATGTGGTAGTCGAGGGGCAGAGATCGTTGCTATGGTCACACTTTATGGTTAGTACGGACTCTATTCAGGCCACTGCTACGCTAGTAAATCTTCTTTGTGAGTGCAGAAACGTCCGAGAGGATAAAAAGCTGCTGTTTTGGCTCAAGCAATGTTTGCTTACCTTCCAACTGTTTCTGCCATAATAAGTACAAGCGAGATACACGGCTCACTCCGCATAAATGGCCGAGGAAAGACTGATACTTTCGATTTCTTGGCCAATTTCGTTGCAGTCAATGACGACATTCGACCTTAACAAACGCTTTTAACCTGAGTGCCCAATTTTAAAGGACCTTTTTAGGTCAACGTCAATCCACCACCAGTAATTACCGCTGAAATTCTTAGAGGTACTTGTCAAAATCGATTGTGGGCTAATTACTGTACCGATTGTTAGGCAGCTTCTCTGATGATGCCCTTTCTGGCAAAATAATAGCCTTGGGCACAGCAAGCGTTCGTATAAGGTCACTGGTAATTAAGTGCAGTTTTTAGTTCTTGATGGATGAAATTTTGAGCAACGCAGCGTCCGCAATAAAGCTGGGAGTGGGGTCCATGCTTTGCAAGCCGTGGATGAACCGTTTTTGAGATGCGCCGCGCACTCTACTTCACTCACAATCGCGTTTTAGTGGCGTTTTCCAATGCGATTTGGCCGGCACACTGATTTTCGGGCCAGCCAGATGTATAAGTCAGCGCATTTCTACCCAGACAGCTCTGGTAACTAATAACCAAACCCGGAGGACTGCAGAGCTCAGTTGGCCTGGCGGCGTGGACTTGATCCCCGGACCATTGGCGTGGTAAGCAACGCCACTTACGCCCTAATTTCAGCCATGCTGTCACAACTCGTCCCTGAAAAGCTTCGTGAAGAAGATCCGGAGATCCCTTTTGGATGGGCAGCGCTTTGCTTGAGCGCTGAAATTGGAATCATAACAGATTTCATACCGACGCAGGCCCAAGAAAAGGTCCTTTAGATCTAAGATTCGGACCATTTCATAAAATTTTTCAAACTTAAAATTGTTTCAAATGTATGGAATACCCTGTAATTCACTGCTGCAGACAGGTGTAATTTTCAGAGCGCCTGCCCAAGAGGGCTACATCGATTTGCCAGCTTCCTATTTAATATCCCTCTACGCAAATATTTCATCTCAGGGAAGTGGTGGAGTGTAACGGCATATTTCCCGAGCATTTTGTTGGAATCCCGTCTGTGAGTAAGGTAGTGAGGCCCGTAACCGCACATGACTAATGCCACTTTCATGTCTTCAAACATTTGGCTGGAGCGCAAGAGAAGAATGGCTAGCCTCCTTTCACGCCCTACGCTCCTTTGTGAACACGTTAGTGTTTGCGTCTCTCCCTATGCTACGCACCTTTGTACATGGGTTGATGTCTGCGTCTCGCTCGTCCCCTGTGCTCCCTCATGTCTGCGCTGGATGTCTCGCCCAGACTAACTCTTCTAGACTCGATTGTCGAAAAATACTTTTTCATTACCTGTGTTTTCCTCCCTTCTCAGTTCCTTTTCTTTTTACTTTTCCTTCATTACCGGGTAAATTAGCACATTCTGCTCATATTTGACCTCTTTGCCCCGGTTACAGTTTTGTGAAATGTGCCCTTGAGATCAAGGCTTCCTTGGTGTATACTGGTGTTAAATGATTCACTACGCTGTGTTTGAGCCCTAACCCCTTAAAAACTGTTTCTATCAGTGGTTTTTCAGCGGAGAGAGGAACAAACTTGAAAAGGCCAAATTTGGCACTTTTTATTTTTTGGTTGATCATGTTCAGTGAGGGGAATAGCTCTTTGAAACTGATTCTGAGCGTCGACCAAGCGGCGACATAAATTAACTTTGTATACATTATATAAATAAACATAACTAACATAAACTAAAAATAACTTGTATAAATAGGCAATATTTTCAATTTGTCACAGCTGCACTAGACATATGTAATTGTTTTTCGGTCGGCGGATATTGCCTCAGAGAGCTTCTCCTTTTGCCTGATTGCGTTTTTTAACGCGCTCTGGTGCTCGCCAATAGACGAGTTGACTTCGAATGTGGCGAAGTCGGCCAGCTCAACAGCTACACAACGTTGGGGACATTGAGCCGGAAACATGAATGAAAACGGCTGGGCACATCATCAAGGAACCCTTGGGTTCCCAAGCAGCCTAATATTGCTTGGGAGTGATCATATAGCTGACGTTACTAAGGATTCTGCTTCTAATCAAGCATATCTGATCTCATTCTCCTATATAGCGCATTTTCCCGAATAGCAGTTCCTAAGGTGGCTGATCGCGATCAGGCTAACCGCGCTTCCGGGGAGGGCTTACTTGTTAATGAATTTATTGGAACCAGTTGGTCTTTTCCAGAAGACATTTCCCATCAGGGTGAATTCTAATTTTATCTAAAGGAGGGCATTATAATTTGGTTAGATTCTGTCTGACGGCGCTCAAATTCTCCTCTGGGTTTTTCCCACCGAAAATTCTTCCTCAGACATTATTTAATATGTCCACGGTGCTCGCGCTCACCATCACTACTCAAACACTTTCCAAATTCCGAGAAGAAGTTAGATGCATGGCGTACTTTTCGATGGCCGATTGACGCTGGTTACTTTTTTTCTGTTCTGAAGACAATAGAATTAGCCGAATGGGTAATCATTCGGAGAATTCTCTTCCCCTGTTGATTTCCTTTTTAGGCATGAATGTCTTTGGCCCATACACTAGTATACCGGCGAGCTGGACAAAATTTAGAAAAGCGTTAAAATTGTTCCTCGGTTGCTTTTTTCGAGTAAAAATAATGATAAACAGTAATAAATAATCAATAAATTATGATAGTAATGAAATAAAATAAATAATAGGAAATAATGTTAAACTGCAAACGATAAACTAATACAATATTGGGTTGATCCATAATTCCTGGCCGAAATTTTTTCAGAATCAATTTTCTTCATGTCAAATTAGTGTCATTACGAAATAAGTTAGTATGTTGAAGGAGGCATCAGTACCTTAAACTAGGATGTTCCAGAAGGTCAAAGGGCAGTGGAATAAGTAAGTAGGGATCGAAATGGATCAACGACCAAAGCAGGCGATTATGCTTAACGAGAAGAACCTTGCAAGGAGTGCAGTAGGCAAGACCAGCGCTGTGTTTGCCTCAGTCTTTGCTACTGATCGGGCACTGGGCTATTGGCTTGAAAGCATCGGCAAAGGCGATACAAGCTGCAAAGTTTGACCTCATCCTAAGCCCCCAGTCACTTTCGATGAGGATCCATTGCGCTGTGAATCGGAAAGTCACCGGACGCTACCACCTGAGATTTGTAGCAGATACCTGGGCACAGCCGATGCACCACCGCAAGCTGTCTGAATGAAACGGGCTGTAGCAGAATGAAGTTTCGATGGGAACGGCATGCATCTCTGACCATGCCGCCGAGAAGCAGACCTGACCATCTGCAGAAATTTCATTCTGCGCAGGCATAGCCTGGACTTTCCCTAGTCGGTCACCAGTGGAGATGAGTCATGAGTCCACTACGACAACAACACGCGGCACGCCTTATGGCTATCTCGCAGCATGAACCCACCATCTCACCCAAAACCCGACCTCTTTCGTCAGAGAATATTACCCCCATTTGTAGGATTGGTCGGGTATCCCACTTTGAGAACCGCTTCATCTTATATAGACAACCACTGCGAAGATAACCATGGAATAACTCCCGAGGTTGGCCGCAGCAGTGCGAGAGAACCATTCGAAACGTCTCAAAATCTCCTTCCTCCGGATGAACGCCCGACCTTACATTGCGAAGATAACTCGCCACCTTCTGAGGGAAACTGGCTCGATCGCGATACCACATCTATCGTATAGCCCTAACATTACTTCATCGCACTATCCCCTTCTCGATGCCCTGAAGCAGTACCTTCGAGAGAAAGGGGTCACTGAATACAACCACCCAAAAAACGACCTCTCCGAACTCTTCATCCCATAGCTCCACTCGTTTTGAGAGGAATGCATCCATTCGCTGCCTAGCAAATGAATGCATATCAGCGATTGCGATGGTGGTTATATTGTTGATCAGTTATTCTCCCAGAAAGAAAAAACTCAATGAAATGAAAGTGTCGAAATTCGGCCAGAAATTATGGTTCAGCCCAATATCAAATAGTAATAAATAACAATATCAATAATAAATAATAATGAGTAACAATAACAATAAAAAATACACATATAAATAGATGCCTGCCCAGAAATGACTTTCTAAGATCATTCATTTGCTCTTAATCATTTATTCGTGGCAATATAGAAAAGATTTCTGTGTGAAAAGACAGTGAATTGGAAGAAATTATCCACATAATCGAATCCCTGGAAAAAATGCTGCCGAGCTGTGCATCAATTCCAAGCTTCGCTTATGGCCAGAGCGTCTTCTTTCACCGACCATTTTTCAATGTCCGATTCCTGCTTGATGTTTAAGCCTTGTACGACCTCCTTCTCGAAATTTCCAAGACACTAGGTTGTACAGTCATTATCCCGCCTTTCTTTTCATCATTCCACACTGGTCTTGATTGTACATTTGTTCGACTTCAGTAATGCGCTTAGCAGTGGAGGCAGAAAACAAAAACTACAGTATTTTTTTAGAATTTCGTGAAATTTGCACGTTTTCGGTCTAATTTTATACAAAACTTCGTGTAACTGGAACTAAATATTTCGAATAAATCTCACCTCTGGAAAACAATCACTAAAAATTTATTGAGATCGTCTTCTTCGGAAGGCAGATCTAATTCTATCATCCAGTACGAAACCCTTCCACGAGAAGAGTCCAACTCAATGAACCCGTTTGACCATCCTTGAAGCTGGTAACTTTGGGGGTTATGCTTATTCATACGCTTTGCTAAAGTACAAAATCCATATTCTACTGTATGGCAATCGGGAACTTCGTTTTGTTCGGTTGTTTTACAGTATGAGAACTCTCCATAGGGCAGCACGTAATGGTGTTTTTGCCGTTAAATGGAATATTGGATGGGAGAACAGAAATGGCGGCGGCCTGGCTGATGTTGAACATTTCGAAATGAAATATCCTTGAAAGCTTTTTTGAAATAAGAACTACTGTTGAAATATTTCGAAAAAAAAGACTGCGTCGCACTACGGTCAGAATGGAATTGTGAATTTTATGCGGCTTTCATTGTCCGCTCGCAAGACGAATGGCCATTGAAGTTACGTATGCGCATCCCGGAAAGAATCATCTACCCAGCCTTAATTTTCATTATACCAAATGCAGAAACATTTGAAAACGTCAACGGATAGAAATCTTCTCACTCAGAGACCCTCCGTTCGTTGAATGTTTGGATAGCGTCCGAATCGAAGTTTATCTAATTTTCGTTCTCGACACTCTTCCATGGTTCCCTAATGCATCATATAGGTATCGATTACTCGTTAGGTGGCACCATTTAGAAACATTCGGGCAGTTGTAGTCGCAATACGCAGAGGAAACGAGGGATGATTCGGGAACCTTGACGAGGCTCGTGTAAGCTCGGACTCTACCGGTTTCTTTCTAAGCGATTCATGACAACTTGGAAGCACTCGAAGAAAGAATAATAATAGTAATTTGAATTAAAAATGGAAGCAACTATTACATATTCCACATCGAGCAAATGGCGAAAACAGTAAACAGTAAACAAAACGAGACTAACCAAAAATAGCGAATAATTATAGTAAATCTAGGTGTATTTTTGTGCCATAGTTGGACTTTATTACGTTATCGATTACAATTAACCTAATAGTTAAATTGAATAACTGACCTAATAGAAACCTAATAGATAATCGTAATAAATCAAAGCTAGTTTTAGTTAAAATTTTTGTAGACCTATTTTTATCTTACGAACCTTTCGTTCGGTTTTTTTTGCAAGGAATCTCTGAGACTAGCATTTAACGTTCAGTTCACCGGCGATGATCTGAGGGGGTAGGGGGTGGTCGAGGAAGTGGTTTTGAGCCACATCTATGGAAGGGCATTGGAGATTGGTACGAATTTTTCCCCCGGATTTTCCGCATCACTCCAGTACGTCATTGAAACTCGCCTGTTCGCGTCTTTCAGCCCGTTGCAACCACACTGCCTTTGAATGCCATAATTAACAAGTTTATGAGTGTAAAATTCTTCCGTCATTCTTAGTGCAGGAAAGAAGGAAAGTACACTATAGTAGAATTCAAAAATTATTATTTTCCAAAATCATTTTTCATGTTTGAAGAAAAGCTACCAGTGACTTGTTTTGCTTGGGGTTCAAGTTCTGCCTGGGGCGCAAGTTTTGTTAACAACCCACCAATCTTGTGAATACTATCATTCTCTTAACAAAGCTTTTTTTCAGGAGCCGCTTGTGTTCTGCCATGGCCAGGTGTTTGGATCAAGCCGATCGCGAGTTCAACATTACGCAGCATTCACTCGGCCCATTAGGCTCATGTCGCTCAAAGAACAACGATCAGTACTTGTTAAGCAGTACCACGTGAGTCTTCCCTCAACTCTATAGGAATGTTCTTTCTTGCACTTTTATCCATTTGATACATTTTTTATGATATTTGCCAATTTTTCATGTGTCACCTTGTTTTTACATCCTTTTTTCTAACATGGGAGTAGCATAATCAGTAAGTATTAGCAATAATAAATAATATGTATACTAACACTGATAATATCAGCGACTATAATAATAACAATAACGAAGTAGAAGTGATAACAAAGGCGAAGTAATGATTATGTGGTAACAGTACTATAATGATAGAAATAACCCTGATAACAACAAGGGGGCCCTCATGGCCTTGGGTGGGTGAATGAGCTACTCTCACCACTTCGGCCTAAGCCTTAGGTAGGAAAAGGGATTCTTGAGAGGATGTGACAATGCGTGCTGTACCTACCATCGGTCCGCACCCAAGACCATGAGCGCTGTTCTTAGGAAAAAAGCTTACCGCACCGATTGTTGGTTGTTATGTTCTTGAATTTTTGTTCTGCGTTTAGGTGCCAGCCTTGATTATTATTTATAATCGTTACTATTATTATTGTTCATTATTACACTCAAGTATCATTACTCGTACAAAAACAGATTTCTCTCAATCCATGAGACAGTTCTCATTCTTGCACGGAAACAAGTTCATTTCAGAGATCGTGGCGATTGCTTTCGATGTTTGATTGTGTTCCCTGTGCACGAAAATGTTCTCCAGTACAAATCCAGTGAGTACTTTTTACTGAATTCGATAGAATTTTGCTCATTCTCCTTCAACTTTTCATCTGTCGCTCTTTTGCGGCGTCGTGTCGTCACGTTGTATCACGTGCTATCGTGTACTACAACGCAATATTCTCTTCTATCACCAAGTATCACCTCCCTGTGATGCTTTCGACGTTCCCCTCTTTGCACTGGGCATGTTCGTTTCTTCGCCAAGCTTTGCTTGCTAAGTAGAGGAGCGCTTAACAACCTACTTCTGTGCCCTAACTGACTGACTTATGCTGTCACAAAGGTAGCCTAGCACTAAACTGGAGTGGTCTTGTGTTTGCAGACTCGCTTTTAACAAAAGTGACGCAAACCTAACGTCTGCCGACGGTTCTAACCAAGTGACACCAATTCTTCCCCTTCCTACCTTGTGAACCTGCACTTTTTTACATGACACCAGTTTTAGCCTGGTTTTTTTCTTTTCCGATAAATCAAGAAAGAAAAATGAGGGTGGTCTGCTCTAAGTGCCTGCTAAACACCTGCTAAAGACCAGAATTGCCTGCACCTGCCGCGCTTTCTTCTGAATGGATTCCGTATGGGACGTGGACCATTGGATTTCTCCATCACATGCAAGAAATTGCTTGAAAATTCACCGCCTTTGTGGGGGTTGAAAGCGGCACGATCGCTGCAGCAGCATCAATCACCGACCGAGGCCGGGTCGACTGTCATTGCGCAGCGATGACGGTCTCCCGGGGATACACGGTGGCAAATTCCGGAGTAACCCGCTATTCCTTGACTGAGATGACCCAGCCGGGATTGACAGCCTGTCACGAACTCGATACCCCAAGGAGTAGTATGGGGAATATGAAAGAAAATCTGAGCGCGAAATCTGACGAGCCAAACTCCTTAAGTGGGAGAATTCTGGGGATTTTCAACAGCAGTGTCCGCTCAAACAGGGTGGGTTTTCCAGACGCGCCGCGCTTGATGCTTCTCTGAATTTAGGATGCCATTAGGTTCGATTTTAGAGTTTGTTGCCATACATTTTGTGGAAATCAAATGTAATGCACGCCTGGGATAAATTGCATGTCGTTCAACATCGTCTCCCCCGGAATGGCTCGTTCTTGCCTCATGCATAAAAGAAAGTCACTTCAAGCGGACTTAATGGCACAGACCCACCGATTTAGAGCTTGGAATAATTCTCTCCAATGACTGCCACGATCTTGAGGTGAGGCTGAGATAGCAGGCCTGAGGGTGCTATGAGCTTCCAATCGGGTTCTGCACGGGGATTTGGACATTCCATCCTCTTGGGTCAGGTTCAAGTGGTTGGCACAATTGTAGGGAGAGTTTAGTCGCCGATTTGAACATCTTTACAAGTCAATGCAAGTGATAACGAAGTCCATTCAATTGATTCCACAACCCGGGATAAAAAACATGTGCATGGCGCTTCCGGGGTCCCTTCCTTCGTCATCTTTTCCGTATGGAGTTTTAAGTGCTAAACTTACAACTTATGTTAACTTGTTCTGAGCGGCGTGGTATGAGTCGCGTGGGTTGGGGACCAAAATAAAACAAAAACTAACGACACCAGCTCAAACCGTTGATTTAATTCGAGCTATTTTGGCGGGACCGTAACGAGCCACCATCACGGCAGCTCTGTCAGGGACAACGCAAAAGGTCGAGCCGACTAAATCGCATTAATCTTTGAAAACGCGAAGAGACAGTCTATCAGATCTGTTCTGCAATTCTGCTAGACAGCCGATATGGTGCATCGCTGCCATTTCTGCCATGATGCGGCTCTGTCCATTAGTCCAAGCCACCCATAGCCGGACTGGCGCGGTGACGCCGACGGGCATATAACGCCACTCATTTCGTCGAGCACGGAAAATTGCTCGGCTAACAATAGAGCGATGATCACTTGGGAACACATACATCTACAGTTTCAATGGAGAAAAGAGCGGTCAAAAAGTGGCAAGAAGAAGGGAACAGGAAGAATGAAGTCAAGGAAAGAGGCAACGATATTCATTTTGATTTGCGATATATGAACAGTGGCGAAAGAGTCAGGCGCCCTGGGGGCCTAACAAACTCCAAGGAAGAGCCACGTTGCTAAATCCAAGCCCTTCGTCGAATAGGTGGTGTGCAGGCCATCTAATCAGTCGGGGGTACCTGACAGGAGGCCCGTCACGCGACAACGAGGAAGAGTCAGCGGACGAGTCGCAGCACGCGCTGTAGTGATGGTTTTCGCTTTAAGTTAATAGAATGTTCTATTGGTAGTACCTACACCGGAAAGCACACGCTGCGACTCGTTCGCTGACTGCAGCTATCGGTGCCGCGTGACCACGGCCTCCTGTCGGGGTGTAGCAAGCAGTTCAGACCCTCAACAAGTGGAAAAAGACGAGTGCGCAGGTTTATAATCGTTCAGTGGGCTACTCGCTTTCTTCATAGCTAATATTACTTTTTTCGAGTATCATTGAATTCAAATAAAAGCCTGTGTTTGCAGCTCAGTGCATCTTCGATTCGAGCATGACCCTTGATCGATGTCGGCATCACTTCAGTGGTGACACCACCATGCATACACTTTTTAGAAGTGAAGTTCTCAGTTGCATTTCATTTACTTTTTCATTAGCCACCTGATCGCCATTACGAATTTCTGGTCTTACTTGGCAACCAAAACCATTAATACAGATACACTTCAAACTTGGGCCGGGATCTGGGGGGGTGGCGCGGGGTTTGGGTGGGTGAAATTAAGTGCTGTAAGTTTGCGAAAAAAAGCTCGCTGTTTCTGAATGTTCCTCTCTTGTGGGGAAGCCTGACGCCCTAGCTTGCTTACGGTTGTCGCGAATTGGACTTTTCAGAAAAGAGAGGAGTTTCTGAATCTAAAAAATGAAACGTATTTATTGCAGGCACGTTAGATGACAAGTGCAGCGGTGGCGAGCGAAGCGGTATGAACGAATGTTCTCGAGTATCGGGATTTGGCTCTTCCTTGGACTTTTGGGCAAGAATGCTGCATTCAATAGCTAGGTAATATAAAAATACATTAGTCGATACCAGCGCAGGAGGGACCATACCACAACAGCGTACTTGAAATACTGAGCTGAGAAAAGGACCATGAGCTCCCAAAAGGTAAAGCGTGAACAAAATTGGCTCCATCACAGGTGCTTTTTCTAGAGCCCGACAGCTCTGAGTGGGTGCTCTGGGATCAGAGCGCGAAGGCTTCGGACCGGTCAAAAAGACCCGAAACTTCCCACTCGGGAGCTCGTTTTCGAGTGGTGTTTTCATCCGATTTATGAACGCAGGGTACTTCCGATTAATGACACTCAGGGTTTACACTGTTTTTTGCAAGGGTGGAAGCGGGGCAGAGTTCACCTGTTTTCGCCTTTTACAGGCGGTCCATATCTGGCCACTACCGGAAACAAAGGGCCTCATGATGCAATGACCAGTTCAAATATCATATTTTAGCGTCGTTAACAGCAGTTCTCGCGCAGGGGGTAACGTTCCCTCTCGAAGTCGGAATTATTCAATTCAACGGCAGTGGCGACCATGACCCCGGCGGACCGAGTCGTTCAATTGCTCGTTTTCTTGTTGCGCTAAATGGCAGGAAAAATCCCGCTAATAGAGGGGGCGGGCACGAAAAAAACGTTCCGGCGCTCCGATTTTTCCTCAACGACGGTCCATTAAACGGTCGTCTGAAATGTGAAACCGTCCAGTTCACATGCTTAAGTAGCTTCGCGCAGCTGCCCCTGTTGAGCGCCGCAATCGCTCAATGGGAATGCGATGTGTTCCTTTCGCCGGACAGCGATGCGATTAGCGAGCGAAGAGAGATTGGTGCGGGGGGGGGTGGGGCCTGGTAGAGCAGCTCCTGCCTATTCAGTAATATCTGGTGAATTTGATAAGACCAGTATCACTATTCCGATAGCCGTAAACCTTAGGAGACCTTCTGGCAGAGTAAAGAACAGAAGAGAGAGAAGAGAAGGAGGAGGTAGAAGAAAGAAGGAGTGCTTCCGTATCCCCCTAAAGCCGCGCGGTAGCTCTCCCTCATTGGGGCTATGGAGGTGGGAGTATTCGGTTTTATTGAGCGTACCACAGTGGCTAAAGAAGCTCTTCTGCAATTTCTTACTGTTTAGCGATCTGAGTGGTCGAAAAGCGCAGTCCTCAACGTTCCCCAAGAGAAAGGGGGGGGGAGGGGTGATCAAGTGTTGCGTTCTCACTTTAACTGTGTCATTTTCCCCTGTACATTCTGTTATTCATGTCCATGTCCCGTTTCCATAAGAACCGGCAACCCAGGGAGGAGAGCATGAAAAGGACGCGAAGAACCTGCTAATCCATAAAACTTCCGGGAAATTCTTGAGGGTCTCCTAAGAAGAGATTATGAAGCAAGGCAGAAAGCGACTTGACTCGACAATCATGCCATTGTCGCAATGTCGAAAGTGAATATGGCCATCGCGGAATCCACGATAAGTAGTTTTGACCCGGCATTCAGCGCCAGTCCCATATCGGCACAAACAAATCTAGGAAGACACCAACTGGCTTTTACATAGTGGTATTGATAGTACCTTGAGATAGTGCAGACGTAGCAGGCACTTTTTGAAGCCATCCCGGGAACTCAAGACATGGCGATCCAATTTGGGAGTGGTTTCTAGGCATTTCTCATTTGTGGTGGAAATCTGTCATCCGTAGTCGGCAGGGATGACTGTCGGTGGAGCTCTCATAAGATGATGATGACTGACACCTTTGGATGTTTACATCACATCTCGTTCCTTGACATTTCGTCATTATAAGTCTGACATATACGGCAGATAACTGGTTTGACATGGCGCCTGTCTGTCACATTTCCCATCTCCATACACAATGTGCTCCCGTCCAGAAACAGCTGCACTCTGTCACAGGCGATTTCCTGCTCTGGGTGCATGCTAGCTGCTGAAATGGCCTTTCCTGGGGGAGTCCAAGCCTCATCCCGAATCTCTGGGCTCAAGCACATACTGCCTTTGTCCTGGCCCCCACTCCTACACTTCTAAAACCTCGCAAGCTGGTGTGAATCTCGCAAATTGTATCATTGGCGTGCAAAAATTTTTACTTCACAAGGAGTTTTTAGAAGCTGCGCTATTAATGCAGATGGAGGCGGGGCATTATCGTAGGGAGACCGTCACAAGGGCAGCGGAATTCGAGAAAGGGAAGCTGCTCAGAACCTCTCTCCCCTCTTATTTGGTTAATTTAACAAAAAAAGGATGTTTTAACGGGGGGTTCTGAATGAATTACCACCACAATGCTTCGCATCTTGCGATAGCGCCCGTAGGAATTTCTGCCGTGTGGAAGGAATAGGGCAATAAGGATTTTTAGGGTTGCCGTCAATGGGGACGAAGGGATGAGAGCGGAAACAGGGGGGTTAAAGAACATAAGCCGTCAATAAAAGGCCGTTGCATGAGGCCTTTGTGTTAGTCCAGAAGCGAAATGTGCATTTTCTGGCGTATAAGGCTGAGTCACAATGAGCGCATGACTGCTTATTTAGAGGCGGTAGAATGGCAGTTCTGCAGAAATGTTTGCAGAAATTTTCGGTTTCGGAGAATTTTGCTATAGACCAGTCGAGTAATATTTGAAGATGAAATTGCATTTATTTTAAAGAATGGAAGATGAAAAAAAAAGAAAAAAATAATAAAATAACTTTGTCACTTTCTGGTCGCTTCCTCTCGATCAACATTAAGTAAAACTACTCTTCTGGTTGAACAAGAATCTTCACAGCGGGCGGATTCTGCAGTTGTGCGGGCCACTGCAACTGAGCGGCGCTGGTTGCGATGCGAGTTTCAGATGAATGTGTCATGTAGTACTATGGATGGAATACGAGATAATTTCTTTTATGATAGTTCTTAAGTTCACATTTTATATCTTTGACTGGAAATTTACCCGTTACCAGCTGCGGTAAGGATGGCTTCCTTGACCAGGAGGCCATCCCTACCGGATTGCGTAATCGGTACCAGATCTGAGAAAGAACTAAAGACAGGCTTTTCTTGGTACCCATGAGTTGTTGTATGAGCGAAATCGTATTCAGTATGTCAATACGGTTCCGAAGTGAGTTGGATGCGTGGCGCATCCCAAGCGATCGATCAACGCTCTACGGTTTTTTTAATCGAGCACGAGCAGACACCCTGCACGCTTATCAAAAATTAACAACAGGAATTTCTTTTGCAACTTTACGAGTCACGTGTCTGTCATAAAATTTACATAATTCACATTTAAATACATTATTTGAAACATAATTTCGAAAACTAGTATTTTCCGAGTCTGCAAATTTTCAATCTGTTGGGGTGTTTCAGAAGAAGCCACTGCTGTACAATGTCCAATTGAAGCTCCATTGAACTTTACCTATCATACCAGCGCCGGTTCATGCAGCAGTCGGATATCGTCGATCACCAGGTAAGCTACACTTATAATGTTTTTATTTATTATCCAGTACCTATTTGTTTTGTTTGTAGATGCGCTGAATGGACGCGGCTATCGTTTCGCTATCAGGCTTGCCCAGAAAATCCTACCAAGGAGGCTTCAGGTACTTTCAATTTTTACCACGGCTGAATAATGAAAGGAGGGTCTGGAGGTTGCACTTTTCGAGCCTAATGACACAGCTAAGTGCAAGAAGCCGTTATTAGCATGACTTCCATGGAACCAGTCCCCATCATATTTTATAATGATCTTAATGTTGATGCACTTTAACGCTGGTTTAAGAGGAAATGATGGTCAGGATAGTCGGGGAGGGTCCCATAACTCGCTCTTATAGCACATACGAGTAAGCTTGGGTAAGCAAAAGTATGCTGCCACTTACATGTGCACAAGGAAGCTGCGTCCACATATTAACTTCGCCCACCCACAGATCCCTCCCACCACACAAACTCCACCCCGACAAGTGAGCATGGACGGCCATGCACTATAAATGCTGTAGAAGTTGCGCTCTTTGAACATGGTGACACAGCCAAGTGCATGAGGCCGTCATCAGCTGTTCGCACACAAGAAACTTCACGCCCGCACTCCGCCACGCTCACAAACTCCTCCCACCACGCAAACTCCACCCACAACCAATCAAGATGCACCACCACGCATCGCAAATGCTGTGGAAGCTGTACTCTTCGAGCGTTATGAGCGCAGCCAGTGCACGAGGCCGTCATTAGCCTGGCTTCCATGGAACCAGTCCCCATCGTATTTTATAATTCCCTTAATGTTGATGCACTTTGCGTGGTTTGCAAGCGCTGAGAGGAATTGATCGTCAACACAGCAGAAGAGGGGGGAGATTAGAGCTAAAATAGTACAACCACCTGAACACTTCATTGAGTTAACACGTGGCCACAGAGATAGCTTGCACTTTGAGCCTCCTCCAGTTTTGTCCTCAAGAGGCTTTTAACCTCTCTGTAGCCAACGATAGATGTCTTGAGGAAGTTTGAAAGTAAACGTCGTTGTAGGGTAATAAATCCTCATGTTTTTCTGGTACACGCCGATAGAGCAGCGGCAATTTGAGCTGTTACTACACGCGTGGCTAGCGGATCAAATCCCACAGACAGTCATTTCAAAGTCAACCAAATCTTCCTTCCCTTCGGATTGGCTTTTCCCACCACATTCATCCGAAATGAGAACAGAATGAGTTGTATTTCGGCAAGTCCGGCAAATTAGTTGCACTGATTGGCACAAATCAAACTACCTGCAATACTTTGCCTATGTTCAGTGTGTAGCCCTCATGAAGGCCTTGGAAGAGGTCTGATTCTTTTTTTTTGCTTTTTGGGCCATTTTCCCGCATCGCTGCTGTATGGGCTTCAATGTAGGCCTTTCAACTACAAACTTGCAGATGTACCCTGTGAAAAACCCCAATTACTCTCTGAGTCGACCTTAACATTTTGCCAGGTTGGAGCAGAGCCAGCATCACCAGAACTAATTTTACCCCTAGCGCACCAAACATCTGAGCCAGCAAGTCATATGTACTCAAATGAGAAGAATCAGTCTAATTGGAATGGTCTTCCGTACCACTCACCTCTTTACAGTGTGGTCTTTCTACGAGCTCACAATCCTTCCAACCCGGCTTCTAAAAACTAGGGTACCGTTTTAGGCTTATTCCTTTTGGGTATAAGGAGTTGTAGGTTGCAAAATTTCTTAATTCCTGAGGCCTTCCTGCTGTTTCCCCCGGGACGCGATGCTATTTCTTTTTAAGCTAGGGTAGGGGTAAAGGGATGCCCTGCAAGAACTGCCATGAACCGGTAGGTACTGTAGCAAGAAGTGCAAGCGTATGGCGGGTTGTATGACGCAACCCTGTCATCCTCACATTAGAGTTAGCATCGGAGGACGGGACCCGTCTCCTTAGCAGAAGAATAGCACCGAACCCCCTGATGTTTTCAAGTAGCGAATTTTCGGGGTAGTTCAGTTCATGAACATCTTTTTATTCGTTACGCTGTACTACTTACTAAAACGTAGACTGATCTAGTCGGCCGTAATTACACCAGCCATACGCGATTACACGTCTCGTAGTCAGTTTGTTCGTCGAGGTGTACGTATGAATGCATTTCGTGTCTTTATAGAGGCAGCATTTATCATTGTTAGTGCGGTGAAGGCCAATTAGTTGCCGACGAGCCACCGAGCTGGACTGATTTATAACCACGAACCAATCGAATGACTCCATGTCACGAGGATAGGGGGAAAGGAATGGCTTGGTAGCTGGCTAGTGAGAGCTTGGACCTCTTAAAGGGGTTTTTCTACTGTAAGAGCCTTTTCGATCGATTCTCGTAGAGGTAAAATATAGTCGTCATGACCATCGGCATGAATTAGTGAATTTGGGTGGTGCTTCCAGATTTTTGCTACATATTGACTCTCGACGTAATAACACTTGTTGAAGAAACGCAAATGAATATACTAAACTAATAAATAAATAAACAGGTGAATAGATGAATGGTTCGGTCAGCTCGTTGGCATTGCTGTGGCCAGGTTGTTTACGCCAAATGCTCCGTAAGGCAGGTTGCGCTCAAGCGCGTGTACCCTTGATTTGGTGAAGTTGGAGAGAGTTTGCTTGGAAGAAAAATACTAGATGAAATCGCATTCGCACGGAGTCTAGCTAACGGCCCGGTGTTTAGTTGAGATGCGCATTTCCCGCGTACGGAGGTGCAAATCTCGACATAGAATCTCACCTAGGTCTACCGTAGAGTCTTTCATCGGCCCGCTGGTTGGCCAACGGCCGCTAGATCTTCTGCGGAAGGGTACAAACCCTAGCTTCTCCTTGTTTTGGGCTTCACCAGCTGCTTTGGTCGGCTGTCTGCCTGTGATTGTTTCACACGAGATGCTGGGTTGTGAACAAAACTTTCGCCCCAGGCGGGACTAGAACCCGCACCTCTCGCTTTCCGGGCAAGTGCGCTACCAGTTACGCTACCGGGGCACCATTTCATCCCAACTCAGCTTTTCATGGTATACGTACCATAGCTTTCAGCACTCACACGTATAATGTTGAGCCGGTTAGCCGATATCGGCAATGACCGCGAGGCTGAAAGCTTTGAGCCTGAAACGCTGAAAACTGCAGGTTGTTTTTATTTTCTCGGAAGAGTACCATTTGACCAACCTCATGCGGATTAATACCTCAGATTTCCTTGAAAGGATTCGATCCGTGCAGCGCTCGCATGACAACGGCACTTCTTGCCACTACTCGCTCGTGCTGCTTCGCAGATATCTACCTACACTTATAAAGTTAAGTAGTTGCAAACCTTCTGGAAAACATCTTAGGATCTTTCACACCAAAGCCAATTAGCAGCTGGCTATGAATCCGTTCCTCAGCGTGAGAATGTGCAAGCCTGGTTGTACGGAACACTTTATCAGCAGTGCAATCTAATGAGTGACATCATGGCGGGCGCCTAAAAGGCTTTGCGGTACGTACGACGCGTCAAGGAATTTTGATCATTTGTGACAAATGCGAGGATTAACTGCGATAAATTGACAGACACGTAGGGAGGCAAATTACGAGATAGCGAAGTCCTTCCGTTGGAAGAATGTTAGTTAGGGAATCGAATAGAAGCCGCTCTTCGCCATCACAAATTGGGGTGGGGCATCGCTGACTATCGCAACTTAATCTACGAAAACATTCTTAGGCGGTTTAGCTGCTAAACTTGTAAGTACTTCAGAACGAATTGGAGGGGTGGGAGCCGAATGCGTACGGGGTTCCGGCTCCTCTTGCCCTTTCCCTCCTAAACCAAATGGATGGAGATGCCCCAAGGAAGTCTACCTTCTCAGGTTCGAAAACCAGCCATACATCTGATGAAGTTCAGATTGAAGTCAAGCCGCTTGGCACCAGTTCCGATTCACAAAAACTCTGCTCTATATCGTTTTATCTCATAATAACTTGTCATTCTACTACAATCGAATGCAAGGGACGAATTCCTGCGCTAAGCTGACGCGCATATGGCTAATCCATGGGTGTCCACTCAGCCTATACATCTCAATTGAGATGGCAGTAGCGTTCCATCTTCGAATATGATTGCTCATCGGCTGTAGTTCGTCGGTTGAGTGGCCGTAGCATGCGACGAGTTAGATAGCGGCCGTTCCTCACACTCGAACAGAATTAGGTCACCCTCATCCACTCAATTTGCACCCTCAACCCAGTCCATAGCACTCGATAAAGCCGCCTCAAATAACATGCCGAGGGAATGGCCACCACGTCCATTGAAACCTTTCTGGACCCTGAGAAGTCCAGGAAAACTGGAAAATTGCCCAGAGAAACGCTAGTGCGTAAAGGTGGTTCCAGACGTCCGCTGGTGCGCCATGCTCCCGTTCTCCGCCCATGATAAAAAGACGATTGAATCTCTCAAAAATGACATAGAGGCTGGCTGAGCTCGGCCCTTATTGAGGTCCAGTGTTATGGCTTGAATATACGTATAAGGGATCTCGGAGAATGAAGAACTCGAGTACCGTGCTATGGGTTCATTTGTGCACTTTTAAAAGTTACGGCCCTAGAAGTGACTGCAGCATGTGCGTTGTACGCCAATGAGCGGTCCAGGACGATTCGTGGGTTCGTGTGGCGTCCGGTCCAGCCAGGCCTTCCATCCTCCCAAAGTCGGTCAACTGCTATCAGGCTTGTCTGGAAGGATAAAAACACTGGCTTGGCTGGCCTCCGTAAGTCATTATATAGGCCAAATCGTATTCAAACTCTACCCCGAATGTAAAAATGGGAGTGGGTAGAATGCACCCCGCCTCCCGAATCGATTGATCAAACGGAGAAAATGCTCTTATCTTTTGAAGCAAGACTGGTTCAACCACGGTTAAAATTCGCCGTAGGCGACACGTAACTCCAAATCGCTTTTAACTGGCGCAACGTTGCACCATATGGTTCCATCACTACACCAAGGTGAGGCAAATTCAGCTGTTGAAGCTGTACGCATTGTCACCTCGCCTCCGTACTCATATACAGCGGAGCATCTGTCCACGTTTTGACCGATAGAACTGGTGAGCCCTAGACAGATCGGGTCTTTTCTGACTGGCAAGAGTGATGCCGGTCTACTTCTTTCGCGTAGTACACTACTTGGACCTTCTCTCCCATGTTCTCCTTACCCATCAAAAGCGTCAATGCAGACGTTAGCCGGGCCGCGTTCATAGTCCGTCGCGACTCCGGAGATTAGGATAGTACGCGACAATGAAAAACATATGTATTGACGGCGAGATTAGGATAGTAGAGATTAGGATAGTAGTAGATTAGGATAGTGCGCTGACAAGATTAGATATGTATTGATCTATTCGCTTGAAGTCGCCCAATCTACTACTCTCCAGCGATTTCAATCGATACGTATCCAATCTTGTCAGCGCAATCTCCTACTCTACTACTATCCCAACCCTAATATCCTGTCGCCTACTATCCTAATCTCCCGAGTCGCGAACTATGAACGCGGCCTTAGGGAACGAGGCATTCCACAATATGCAACGATGCCAAACGGGCCATACGTTGGGATCTACGAAATAATGAGGGAAACCTCAGATGTAGGGAAGAGGGGCGGTGAGCCAAGCTTGCCTTTGCGGATGAAAGTTTTGAGAAACGAGGTCACTATGGTCGGAGAGAGGCTGTTAGGCAACGAAGTAGATCAAGACAAGGGGCACAACGACACTTTTTTATAGGCTTACGCAGCGGAAGCTTTAAAGGTAACAGCGAACGTTGAATTGAGGAGCCCAGATAATCATGAGCTCAACGCTGATCACAATATGGATAAAACTGCACCAACTGAATCTGGCACAGCGAAGTTTTGTGCACGGTCATCCTAAATTTGTGAGAGTAAAGACGTTGCGTATCGCCGTGCTAGCGTACGGACTTCTCAAATTCGGCTGTGGAGTGAAAGTAGTACTCTCGCTCTTCATTCGGGAGGTCATAAGTTCTCTTCCCGTTAGAGTGCAACTTTCAAGAGCACTACCGCTTCTCCACGACGAGTTTGAAAGCCCGGAGGCTAGCACGATTTATTGTAGCGCTTTACTTCGAGCCAACTTTGACTGCTCACAACTTCCTTGGCAAGTTCATTTTGCAGTTTTGGTCTCCATGCTTTGTAATCAGCATTTGCTCTCTATCGATATATCTGGGTATCAATGCGAAGTTCCATGGGAAATTGAATGCCGCCTCCGCCTGGTTGTCGCCATAGGCAGTTCTGCTGGATTTGCCCATGACACTGAGTGCAGCGAGCGTATGAATGCGTTTAGATGATGAAAAATAACCGCAATTGGAGCGTCCAAGGCCAGCCACGCACTTTATTTCTTCTGAGAAGTAGTGGCCTGAATTGTGGCTCGTGGGAAGCCCGTGTTGTCCACTAAGCAATCTTAGCTCCTATTTAAATTGCAAAAATCAAAGGGAGATGAGACCGCCAGTAGGTGCGGGCCCACAGCTTTTATTTCTGATATATTTCATCGTGTATTCCGTTTCTCGTTCTTGTTCCCTTCATGAAATCTTCTGGGCATGCGCCACGTATTCAAGTTTAGCTCAGAATCGAATATTGCACTTAGTATTCGGCCTGAACTGAAAGGGCACCTTCTACAATCAAATTAATCGAGTAAATAAACGCGCTTTGAATTAAATATCCCTATACATTGCGGTCTAGGGACTGTACCACATCAGGAATTATCGTCCCATAACTACAGTACTCGCAAAATTGGCCCATACAGTATGCTGACGTGAATGCTGCGTCGTGGCACTGCCCGGCTCGTCACACGTTTTCGCGCACGGTTGGCAATCGTCGCGGAGAATCCTACGATGTTTTGTGAGTTTTATTTCCTGGCATGAGCCTCAAATTTTTCGCGAAATCGTTCTCGACATCAGGTCGCCCTAGACTGCGACCATCTCCTATACGCATTAATGAATATTCGTATTAAGTCAGAGTCAATAAACGGAGAAAAATCACACTGGCAATCGCTGTGAGAAGGTTATTCAGAAGCGGCTCCGCGACCGAACGTAGTTTGTTTTTCCTTTCAAAAACTTCAGTATCCCCCTAGCAATTTTGGCAACTTGCAGAGCGTCCCCACCCTTGAGGGTTAAAGGCAGCGAACAATGGCTCGAAAGCGGAACAGTTTTGATGCGGACGATATTGATGACGTCGTTGGACGTCATTGGTGGGTATGATCCCTCACCGCGGTGGGGATAAGTTGGACCATCTCCAAGCCCCTTACGCCATTGGCACCCACGATGACGTAAATCAAACCGTCCCGGCCACTGTGTCCATGCTTTTGACCCAGATAGTACAAGATGCACTTGAATCCGTCGGAAGCAAAACCAGTACTAGCTCCATTTAGATGTTCATCCAGTGAAAAGCATCGTTGTAGATAGTGGACCAGTCAGGAACATCGGGACGAATTGGGATCTCAGCAGATGCGAGTTGTCAGGAACTTACTCTATATTGTGGCGGGCTACGCAACTACACTTCACTATAAACAAGGTAACAATATTCGTCTCCCTATGTGTCGTTAGGCTGAGGTGGCGGTGGTGGGCGTGGGCGTGGCGCTCGGTGCGCTGCGGTGCGTCGCGGTCGCATCGGTGCACAGCTGTTTGCAAATGCTGTATCATCATTTTGGAACGCTGCCGCAAGAATGTCAGGAGTACGACAAGGACTGTAAAAGAAAACTATTAAAATGCCGTTACGAGGTCAGCTTTTGTTCAAAGTAGAAGCCGCACGCTCCGCCGCGCACTGTCGAGCTCCGCCGCCGCCTCTCTGTATCGCCAGTATTACACTTGATCAAGCGAAGGCATTAAAATAACTGTCCAGATCCACAAATCCATTCTCAATTGATTTTCCCCGACTAAGCACGCCCACAGGGGCGACAACGACAGGCATGGGAATCGATTGTCACGGGGCGGCGGAATGTCATCCAGGATGGTGGGTCTATTCGAAGTTTACCAATTTATTGTGGCTCCAGACAGAGTTTCCAGGGTTGGGCCATGACTAGCTAATTTTCGGCTTCGCATTTTGAGTACATCGTTGTAAGCAGGAAAAAATGTTTAGGTGATTGGATCTCCTCATATAAACTACGCAACGATACCGTGTGGACGTGCTTAGAAAGTCGACAATATGAACACTTTACCGCTGTCCGAGCACATGTGCGACGAGGATGCCAAACAGGCTACCAGTGTGTCCAGGTTGGCGAGCGTTTCTTCATGTTTGCGAGCTCTCTCGGATTTTCATGTAAATTGCTTCGAGTTTCATTCGCGTGGTCGTCATTTGTTGCAGTTGAACTTTGTCAGATAATGTCCTACGGTATGAGGACTGTTCGGAAATGATCGTTGAGACACGTGACACGCTGGTACTTCATGGAGCTCAGGTAACACTGACCCCTCATTTGGAAGCCCACCGTTCAGTACCCTACCTGGCGACCTGTGGGTAGGATAGCCTTAGAAGGCCTGGTGTTTTTGGTTATCGCACCCATTGGTCGGCCATTGTCGAGCAGCACCATGGTTGTGCGTGTGTTGGTGAACATTCAATGAGTAGTTCTACCGAGCTCGGCCACCACGCAGGCCCAGCGTACCCACAAATTGTCGTTATAGCTCCACATAGGGTTAAACTCTAGCTGATATAGGCCATCACGGCCACGTCCGCTGAATAGCGTAAACTGAGTGTGACACTGCTGCTAGAATGCTCAGCCTACCGTCAGGCGCTAGAGAGCCTGTTCTTTGATATTTGTTCTAGCAGAGAGCGGAAGTGGTGTGGCAAGTGGCGCTGCTTACCACGCGAGCGGTCTGGGGATCAATTCCTGGGTCGTTCACCGCCCAGGCCAACCAAGCCTTCCATCCCTCCGGGTCGGTTAATTGGTACCAGACTTGTCTGGGAGGATAAAAACACTGACTTTTACAAGTCATTTTACAGTCACAATACAAGTCAGTCATACAAGTGGCTCCTGCAAGCCATTTTATGGACCAAATCGCATTCAAACGGCCACACCGATTCCATTCCAAATAGGAGTAGAACGCGTGGCGCACCCCAGAAAGTGATCGATTAACGTGGATGCTTATGCTTTCATTTTAGGAGGACTGCCCACTACGTGGTCGATACACATCGTCGGCCTGCCAACATCCGTTGCTGTTTCTTGGATGCCATAAACCGGACGAGATTCAGATTGCCACCGAATGTAATCCGATACGAAAAGGTTCGCATGGTTTTCAGCTTTTCCTATCGGGCAGCACGTGGAACTGACACCGGAGGAAAGTAAACTTTTTTTGAAATCTCCTTCGTTTGTTCATCTGAGATGCTCGACTGGTCAGCTTTGGAATCTTGGCATCAAGCCAAAGTGTATTATTTGCCGCGAAGGGGTCCGTAAATGATGTGAAAGGCCTAAAATTGGAGGGATTTCTGGCCTTTTGGAAGGTCTTTTTGGTGAGCCTTTCTCGTAAGCTGCCGCTTTATCTCCTGAGACCAAGTATGCAAAACTCACCTGTGTTATCGGTGCTTTCAGATGCCGATCTTTACTCGTGTGCGGCTCATTTTGAACACAACGATGATCACTACCTAGTGGTAAGAGATGAACTCTCGGCTCAATATCAGTGCATGGTGAGCTTTTTATTCCTATACTGTGCCCTTTCTGTGATTAACGTAGTTGGGCCACATCTCTAGAGCTACCGCTAGTCTCGGGGCAGTGCGGAAGCACATGGGAAGGGCGCTAGGCTTTCATAACTTGAGTCAATGCACACACCACTGTACGGCTACCTTATCAAATTCCCTGGTGTCTGCGTCTCTCTCGTCCCCATGTTTTCTCCTCTGTGTTTCGTCATCATATGCTAACTTGCTTCAAAAGACTTATTTTGTTGCTCTCCTTTCTCTTCTCTTTTTTTTTTGCCCTTACTGTTTCTCTTCAATATGACCGCAGGGCCAGCATGTGGGTTGCTGCCATTGTGCCTTTATGTTTTTATTGAGGAATGTGAACTTTCATAGTTGGGTCAAATATGAAGAAAGATTTTCTACTGTGTAGAGCCAACTTCATCTTTTCTGCGCTCATCGCAGGGTTTATAGACTCCCTTGGCGTGCATGACCCTATCGGTAAGCTCTGAGAGCGAATTTTTTCTGCATATTTTGAGCTATTCATTTTTTTCACATATTTATCCATTCATTTATCAGAAAATCCACACTTCCAACGATATCACGCTGAAGATGTTCGACCATGTTTCATGTGATCCGCAATCAACAGCCGGTGCTTTACCATCGTTGACAGTGAACATTTCGCATACAGGTTTGATTTTGCTTGTTTGGGAAGCACAGACTTTCTTTATAGTGGGCTGTGGAGTTTGACTGCCTGGTTAACTTAACTGGTTCAACAAAGTTTGGCGGGGGTGGATCCGTTCCACAACACTAGTCAGTACTATGAGAACAATTTTATTAAAAAACAACGTATTACACGCGAACACAGCGAAATCGTATCACCGAAATAAAAAACAAGGCAATAGAGGTATGCACGGAGGTAGGCGAGGGTCGGGCGCACGGGCCACGAGGTCTAAGATATCTAAAAAGTAAAAAACTACAAACCCTCCTCCCGGACTCTTCCTGCCAGGTCCCGTCAGATCGTCAACAGGGGGTTTCGCGCCCGCACCGGCGCTTGACTGGCATACCTCGTTTGACCCACAGGCACATTTGCCCTTCTTCAACAGACAACTTTATCCTACCACCTGCCTTCAAAATATGACAAAGGTCGTTTCCCACTGAGAATAGAAAATGACCTCTTTGATAGGCGGGAACTTGCACAGAAGAAAGTTCAGTATCGCTTTATATTATATATGACTCTAACCATGAGAGGACTAAGAATTGTTCTCTGTCTAGCCAGTAAGAAGCAAATTTCGAACCATAATTCTAAGAGATTCATTTTTCCTGCATTCGGGCGGAAAACAGGTGCATGGCTTATCCTCAACTCAAATTTCTGATGAAACGAAATTTCAGAACGTTGCGAATCTTCGTTCTTGGCCGGGTTCCTTCACTACTCAAGATCTACAACGATGATTTATCCAATTCAAGCGTTGATATTGACGAATTTGCTGGTGCTGTTCCTCTTTTCATGACATATCATTTGCTGATAAGGTGCTGATAGCTGCTATCAGTCCATCTCATAGTTTCTGCTCGTGTCCCATAAGTCAGTGTACCATCAATGATAAGTAAAATCATATGTGAATATTTTTATAGGATCAGATTGAGACATCTTATAAGTGATGAGCGTTTTCTAGGTGTACTTTGTGCTTTCTCACTTTCATTTCCGTTCTTATATTACATTTGTTTGCATAGTTATAACCTCGGTGACAGCCAAAATTACTATATACAGCCCGAGCGGCTGGAGAGTGAAGCTTGAGAGTGTCGAGAGTGGACGCGCGCGGTCGCGACGCGTCACCTGTGCCACTTGCTCCGCACACTAATTGCCAACGTGGCTTGCATATTATATGTGATTGTATATCTATTAGCATATTTTCCATGACACATTCACGCTTATTTTGCACTTATACACGAATGATCTCGAATTTTCAAGCAGGTAGACGTGTTGTGAAAATCCGGTCTCCCATACGGCCTTGATCAATCGATAACCGTTCTCGCCCTTCTAAACTGCTCCGAACGTGAACGTAATCAACCTGCCGGAATGGTTATCGATTGATTACCTAGTATGGAGCTCTCTGTTCCCTTTGGGTTTCTGATTGTCTTCTCGCTTCGGCCAATGTAACTTGGTGGTTGTGTGTTTTCGTGACGGGACCTTTCCATTATGGACAACTGTTACTTCTTTTTAGAACCTTTATCGCGGAATATTTCCTTGTTTACCATATTTTTCTGTAAAGAGGCTTTTTCTAGTCGAATGTCATTCGTGCCTAATAATAAACGCTCATTTGTGTGTAACATTTTCGGCTAGCAAGTTGTGGATCATTTCTGTGCACATTCTCTAAAAGACTTCCATAGAGCGTTCAGAGTTGGCGATCGTACGTGCGATCAGGCGATTAGGCGGGGAAGGCTACGTACGTAATGATTGGTTTGCTCCGCCCATAGAGCGTTGTAGGCGAGTAGGCGGACTGGCGAGGCCAACTATGGAGCTCGATTACGCCGCTTTTTCTATAAGGATACTGTTGACTCGGGAAAATATGGCACAAGTCTATGGGGTGGCATGCCGATTTTTAAATACGGTCGATAGGGTACGCAACGACTTAACATGACACTGATCTATTTAATTCTTAGCATTGTCATGTTGTCACTGATTGTCTTCGGCCTCTAGGTGAGCTCCGCGGAAAATGCAGGTCAATGGATCTATAGGTGGAAGTAGGTAGGCATGTCCACTATGATGCAGGATGCGAGAAAACCATGAGAAATGGTCCGAAAACGGAGAACCCGAGCCCCTACCCTGCTGCTTTCCGCATTGGTGCGACTCTCATCAGTGTTTCCGTCTTCGACGCTAACTCTCTCTGCTAAACGGCTAGAGAACTGCAGCGAGTGGCTAGCACATCGTGGGCGTTGGGCTCGGTAGCGGACGGGACGCAAGCTTATATCGAAGGATCATACGCTGTGAATTGAAAGGTCGATTAGCATCCTTAGAGGTCGCCTGTCTTTTCACTCGGTAGGTTTGCCCTTTTCATCTATCGAAAGTCATAGTGAAGCATACCTCATTATCAAATCCCTAAATTAACGTTATCCATCGTGCGACGGGAAACGGTAAAGGTGTTTTTCTCTTTCGAGACAGCGCCTTCACTCACCTAAGGGCTGAGGACTGACCTCAGCGTTGGGCACTTATTATGTCTCAATTATTTCAACACATCAGTCGCCTAGTCATCATCGTCCTGCGGTGCTTAATGACAGGGGAGACATTAAACCAGGACATTCAAACAACCGATGGCAGGTGAATTCAGTATCAAATTCAAGAACGCCAAGGAGAGCATCTAGTATGCGCACTTTCCTTACCAGAGACCTATCCTTCCTCATCTACCAGGAAGGTCTTTCAGGGCGTGACAAGCTTTTTGAAAACGGTCTTTTGCATGATATAGGGGCAGATGCGGGAACCACAGAACCATGTTCAATTTTTCCTGAACGGCCCTCTGAATACCAGAAAAGGGGTCCCTAGTTCGATTTCCTTGGTGACAAATTTTTGCATTTCGAGTTGACGTTCCAAAATTCGCGCAAAATGGAGTTCTGATTGTTCTGGTTGGTTCTAACTCCATTTTGCGCGAATTTTGGCACGTCAACTCGAAATGCAAAAATTTGTTACCACGAGGAATCGAACTAGGGACCTCCTTTTCTGGTATTCAGAGGGCCGTTCAGGAAAAATTGAACATGGTTCTGTGGTTCCCGCATCTGCCCCTATATCATGCAAAAGACCGTTTTCAAAGTAAGCTTGCCACGCCCTGAAAGGCCCGCCGCATTACTTCGTTTACAGGAGTCTGCCACAGCTTCTCATACTTTCAAATGAATTTTTCACACATTAACTCTTTATTAAACAAGCCATCATAATTAATTAACAATTGTCCATCCGCCTTCTTAAGAAATGTGTTTTGAGACGCCATATTGTGTTACATGACTCCTGTAAAAGCGATAATTCTTGACGAAAGTATACTGGAACTGTTGAGGTAAGGTTCAGAAGGTCTTCATCGGTGTAGCGCGCTGAAGATGATCCGCGGCGGAGTGTGACATTTATGCCTCATTGCGTTCTTAGAACTGCCTAGCGAGCCGCTAACTATGCGTAGGTCCGTACTTATTAGTGACTAACGATGGCACTGTTAACAATCACGTTCGCAATTCTTCAAAGGGGGGGGGGAGGGGAGGATAAATCGGATATCCGAAAATCACGTTACGCCAATTTTGCGATTTTGCCTAATTCACTACTGTCTGCAATATCACTGCGATCGTCAGAAAAACCCGTCAAAAAGATACCATTCAAGAACCTCTCCGTTCCCCCCATGTAACTTGCCACGAGATGCGAAACCGCCGTTCGAATAGTGCGAACGGTACCGTTGACACGGTCGGTAGACTGTTATCGACTGAGAGTTCTCAGATGATTTCAGTGATGGTGTTTGAAGTATAGTTGGATCTCAGCTCAGGTAGCTCACCACTATTATGCGCCCTTCGGCCGGGTCCAACGCACTCTTGCAGCCCTCTTGTCGAGCGAAATCTCCATGCGGAGTATCTTGAAAAACCTCCATCTGAAAAACGAACTGGTTCCAGAGGCTTTTGCTTTGACTCAAAACTGATAGGATAGATTTAGTTTACCAGGGCTTCCCCAGGGCTCCACCTTGACTTTACGGCTCCGGTATGCACTGGGCCAAGGAAGGAAGAGGAAATCCTGGGAAACCAAAAACTACTCCCTTGTCAAGTCAAAAACGGAGCCCCTTCTCCCTCCTTCAAGGCCCAGTTTAAACTTACTCTGAATGTTAGCTCAACCCCCAAACCCGCAAAACTAAGGTATCCCACCAAAGTAGCTTCAGCACTATAACTTGTTTCACTTGACCTACCTGTTGAGCCTTTCCGCTGCCGGTCAATGATGGCCAAATGTTTAGATCCAGAGCAGGATAGGTAGCTTTCCAGAATTTGAGCAACCGGCTACGAGGAAGTCGAGACGAGTAAGTGATGAACCCTACCCGCCGAAGCATTTATATATCAAGTCTGATAAACAACCAAGATCTTTCTTCATGGCTAGCTGATAGCAGCTGATAGCGGTGTTAGGGTAACTGAATGAAGTGAGCTTAGCGGTGAGCGCAGTTTGGTGAGAGCCTAGTCAGTTGATGTCTGTGGTCTGTCAATTTTTCAAGCTCAGATCAACTCCTCTGCTGACCATGAGAGGTTAAAATCTTTAATATTCAGGGACTAGTGAAGAAACCCTTAGGAGCAGAAAATATAATAATTGTGAAGTTTTGGATATGAGTTGAACAGTCTGTTTCACCCTTAATGAGCGCTCAGAAGAATCGGAGATTTGAGAACTAGGAGAATCGGAGGATTTAGGAATAAAACGTCTGAGACATATTCGGGAAGGACCCTGCCTACTGCGCGCAGTTGAGGAATGTTAATTGATC